CCTGCGTAGCCACACCGGCGAGAAGCCGTACGGGTGCGCCCACTGCGGCAAGGCGTTCGCCGATCGCTCGAATCTGCGGGCGCACATGCAGACGCACTCGGCCGACAAGAACTACGAGTGCCCCAAGTGCCACAAGTCGTTCGCCCTCAAGTCGTACTTGAACAAGCACCTGGAGTCGGCGTGCCAGCGCGAGAGCGACGACAGCAACAACGACGTAGACGCGCCGTCGTAAGCGCCGGGACCAGGACGAGCGGCGACGAGATTAGATTAGGTAGGTTTCTCTCCTTCACGGCAATCTGACTTGTTTTTTTTTTTTTTTTTTTTTTTTCCGGAAGATTGAATTTTTTTGAAAGAATCGATTTCTCTATCGTTTTCTGGGAAACGTCAATTCGCTTGCACGCGGACGATTGGTTAATTACGTTTGCGGATCGTAGCACACATTCTATTGTACAATAACGCGAAAGGGTTAAATCCGCTGACACACACCCGCGATCGATTATGCGATTACCATTTCTTATATCTAGATCTAACAGCACACCCGAAGTAAAACGCGCCGTGCTAACCGATCAATCCGCAATTTGCAGCCGGTCATGCACGACGTAAAAAGAAGATCGCAGTGGCGTCATCATGTTGATTGGTAAAAAAAAAAAGAGAGAAATAGTAAGCTGCACAGGTATACACTTTCGCGCGCTCATGGACCAAGAGGAAAAAAAAAGAGGAGAGGAGATAAACGCATGCGAGGAAGTCGCCGCTGGCCTCTCAACGCCACGCGGATGCAATTGATTTCGATTGTTTTGAATTCGGGATTCGGAATCGGTCGAGTCTATCGTTGCGCTCGATTACGACAGCAGGTCCTCACGTTCCCTTTGTCCCCGCTGTAATGCCTGCAGAGCTCAAAAAAAAGGCTTGCAGAACTCAAAGTAAAATTTAACATCGCTTTCGAGATATTCGCTTGCGATTTGAAAGTGTCGAAACGCTACACGCGCATTCTCCGCTAATGTTACCTTTCGAACTATTTAATTAAATCGTTGTTGTTGTACCCGATCGAGAGTTTCCAAGTACGTAACTCCAATTTTATTTTTATTTTTAGTTGCGTGTTAGATTTTTTTTGTATTTTTTTCTTTCAATTCAACTAAAATTGGCCCTTGGCTTTCCTCTTAAAAAAAGCAAACTACTCTTTCCCTCGAAGGAACATTAGCATAGCATTCGCGTTTTTTCGATGTCACAGAAAATTTGCCGTCGAGAGGACTTTATTCTCTACCCAGTTCGAATTGGATTGGCTGGTGTGGGACATGCGAAGCGGTGAGAGAAAGCTTCCAATTAGTCGAGTAAGATTTTGCTCGAAATTGCAGAACGAGCTAATGACTTGCTGTCGCTGTCGACGAGAGGGGCTCGGACCCTTTTGTGCATCATAGACGACGATCAGACGTCGAATCTCCGGTAACATCCAATTTCAACGGTATCTCTCGGTAAGCGCAAAGTGATTCGATTTACTCTCGCCGGCTTAAACGTCGCGAAAATCTCGGCTGCGCGGGAAACGAGGACGAAAAGGTAATTGACATATCGGCGTCTCTGGATCTCGCGCTCGTCTCTTTCCTCTCTCACGGGGAGAGAAGTTTCTCTGAATATTTCACCGCCGCCGCTTCTTTTGGTCCGTTTTCGAGCACTATTCTTAAAATCCTTTCTCCGATCCTCTTCCTTCGACGGCGAGAGGAGCGAAGAGGAGAGGTTGAGTTCCGCGAAATGATTACCGCGCGAATATCTGACGAACGGGTATTACTGTAAAATAATGAGAAATAATGAGAATTGAAAAGTTGAACGAAGGTGGTACACGTGATATATACAAATAACGATAATGAATACGAAGGGAAAAATCTGGAGCGGGATTTGACGATCTTCTGGCAAAAACAGAAAAACTGTCAAAAGGTGGATCGCGCCTGTGTCATACTCAAGTATTCTTTATTGCATATCGCATTGTCATGATTCAAATCCACGCGAAGTGTGCGTTTACAAAACTTGAAATTTAATTGGACGAGGGCTCTTGTTATTTTGAAATTTTTTTTTTTCCGTACTACCTTCTTCTAATCTAATTATTGGCGTATCTCGCTAACGCCAGTTT